GGGGACCCAGGTCCTGGGCGCGGCGGGCAGCAGCCGGTCGGCGCCAAGGAAGGAAGGAAGGATCGATCGAGCGAGCGAGCGGAGGAACCAACACTGTGGAAGAACCGAGGTAGATGAGAGGCAGAGCAGCGGCGGCGGCGGTAGTACAGCTCCCGAAGGGCGGGGAGGTCCGGCCCAGCGCCCGCGTCTCCTCTGCCCAAGCGGCGGGGGGAGCCGGCCGGCCAACAAGCGCGCATCTCTCCCGGAAGCGGCGCAGGGCTGAGTCCTCGGGAGGCGCCTCCGCGGCGGGCTGGACCGGAGGGGATTGCGGGCCGCCGCCGCGGACGCCGCGACGGAGTTCCCGGAGCGCGCTCAGTCAGCCGCGGCCGCCGCCTCCGCCCGCGCCGCCTCCCCCGCCGCCGCCGGCGGCCGAGTACTTGGCCTTGGTGATCAGGTAGAGGACGATGTCCTGGTGGCCCCCGAAGGCGGCGATGTGCAGGGCGCTCCAGCCGTCGCGGTTGGCCAGCCGGATGTCCGCGCCGAACTTGACCAGCAGCTTGACCAGCTCCAGGTTGCCGTCGATCACCGACTGGTGCAGCGCCGTCTGGCCCTCCGGCCCGAAGGAGTTCACGTTGAACTCGCAGCTGCTCATGTTCTGCAGCAGCGAGTGCAGCTCGGCCGTGTTGCCCTTGCGCACCGCCTCCTGGAAGACGCGCTGGCTGGGCGCCGCCGCCGCCGCCGCCGAGCGCGGGGCCGACAACTCCGCCTGGCTCATGGCTGCGCGCCCGGCTGGCGACGGGGCAGGCGCCGCGCCCGGCCCCGCATGGGCGAGGCGGCGCGCGGGCCCCGGAGAGGCCGACCGGCCTGGCTTCGCCTCCGCCGCCGCCGCGCCCGGGATCGCCGCCTGGCTCGAAGGCTCGCTTGGCTCCGCTGGCTGCCTCTGCCTGGCTGCTACGGGCGCCGAGCGCCGCGGGTCGGCCGGGGACTGAGCGGGCGGCCGGCGGGGGCGCTTTTTAGGCGGCCCCGTGATATTTGCATAACAATGGGCCGGGGCCCCGCCCTCCCCACCCTCCCGGGAGCGGATTGGTCGCTGCCTGGCGAGGGAGGGCCGACACAGCCCCGCCTTCCCTGCACACGGCCCGAGCTGGACCGGGGAGGGGGTGGGGGGTGGGGGTCGTGGGACCCGCACCGGCGGTGGCGGCAGTTTCCCGGGGTCGGCCGAGCGCTGCCCTCGCTTGCATTGCGGCGGCTGTGCGATCGGGACTCCCGGGCAACCGGGCGCGCGTTGAGGGATTGCCCTGCCCGTCTTTTGCCTGGGAGGGCTGCTCCTCCTCCTCCTCCAGCCGGCAAGATCGCCCGGATCGAGAGAGGAGAGAAGGGGGGGGGCGAGTTGCTGCTCCCCACCTGGGTAGATGCAGCCCCGGCGGGGTGGGACAGAAATAGCCAAGCCGCTGGCCTTTGGGCTCAGGAGGTGCACGACGCCCGTTTCCCCCGTTCTTCCCCCTCCTTGACCGCGCATCAGCCCCCAACTCCCAGCAAGAGAAGCCGAGAGGCGCTTCACCCCTTTTCCCTCCCCTTCAAAACGGCGCCTTGCACTTTGCAAACAAGCCTGTGAGGCAGAAATTCAACAGGGGTGGCTACCGTCCCTTGAACTTTCTGCTCCGAAATGCTTGCCTGGCTGGATTGTCTGCTGCTTCCGTTCCCTTTTTCAAAAGGGTGCAAAGAAATCTTGGGATTCTGCGGAAGCACCTGCTCTCTTTGACCAGGTAGGTCTCAAACCACGCAGGTCTCCCAGGCGCCCCTCCCTCCCTTGGCCTCTCTGGAGGGCTCCCTGTTGGGACACCCACCTGGCACACAACTACAGTAAAACTACAGCACAAAACAACCAATAAACCAGCCTGGTTTGAAAGAGACCCGGTTAACTCACCTGTTTTCTCTGCCCCAAAGAAACAACCTACTGACTGTCAGGTTTGCTTCCCACCTGCATGAAGCTCCTGTCCTCTGTTCCCAGGGCAGAAGGATCCAGGGCATCCCTGAAAGACCAAGCAGGCGCAGGTCAAGGGTCTGGCTTACATTTTAAGGAACAAACTGGAAGGGGGGTGAGCTTGGGGCAGAGGTGGCAGCACAACCTGGGATACCACCCTGGCTCAGATGGCAGCAAACCCCACAGAGAAGTGGGGCTGCCCCATGCATTCAAACTTGCAGAAGTAGGTGCTTTTTAATAAGACAAAACGTGGGGTTCTCTTGTGGTTGGCAGTTTTTGCAGAAGTAGCAAGAAAAGGCCTTGCGGTGGGCGCAAAAAGGTCTTCCTGCCTTCCTCTCCTCCTCCTCCTCCTCCTGTCCCCCTGGTATAGCCCCCCCATAAGGGGGAAATGGTGGGGTGCAGGCGTGCCATGGCTTCCTGGTTGTCCGTGGGTCCCTGCCTGCTTCTGTGGAGTGGCTGTTCCTCAAAGGGAGGACTCGGGGTTTACATGGGGCAGGAGGCAGGGGGCCCTTATCAGGAAGCAGATCTATTGAAAACGATTGCTGGGCAAACAAAAGACAGAAGCCGCAGCCAAGCCCACAAAGGAACTGCTGACTCAATCAATTTGGGGGGGGGGGGGGGGAGGGGAAGAACAAAAAGACACGAGGAGGAAGGGGGGGGGGGGGGGGGGAGACAGGGGGCAACCGGGGGGGGAAAAAAAAAAACGGGCCCGGGCCGGCCGGGGGGGGGGGGGGGGGGCGGCGTCTCCCATTCCAAGGAGCACTTAAACCAAGATGAAAGAAGAGACCGAGGCCAAGAGTCCCGTGTGACCCGAAAGTTTGCAGGTTCACCTCTGCTTCCACCACAAGAGAGGCTTCTCTCTCTCTCTCTGGTTTCCTGCCTGAGGGGTGAAGAACCCACCTCAGTCAAGGAAACTTTTTTTTTGGGGGGGGGGG